GCGTGGTTCAATTGCCCCCAAGCTCGAACAAACCTCGCCTATCCCTCGAGCCTGCCTGCCTATTTTTAGGACCGCCTGTAAATCTAACCCGCCTGTTAGTTCGTAGAACCCGCCTACAGATTAAACTCACCTTACAAGAGAATTGATCCAACTCTAAGTAAACTTATACTCACCCAAAAAGATCGATACCCCTATGGTGCCTACACCCGCCAACAAATAAGGGGGCTTCTATTCAAAGTGTTTATCACGCCCCGCTTCCTAAAATACCCGGGAGTCGGAACGTGAACAAGCCCGCGACGTATTAGATTGAGAAGAAATATACACTATTATTTTTTTTCTTCTCAATCTAATACGCTAAGCGTCTGGAAATAAATACAATACGAAGTCATAGGTCCTCGATCACAATCAGCAAGAATATAATAGACAAACTCAGAATAAAAATATCATATCACAAATGAGATAACATCCGAGACATAATAATACAGGTCAAACGCGCCCTTATACAAAAACTATCTGAATAAAATACTGGAGAATATAAAAATACACTGATCAAAAGGAAATGAAGGTGCTACAAAACAAACTGAAAGGAAATAACTAAGCTATGGTTTCTTCTTCTGCTCCATCTGCTAGACACTCCTGCTAAGAATACTCGGCTCTGGCGTATCTCCAAGCTGGACCTGTTCTTCCTCTAAGTCTGACGTACACCAGAGAAAACAGGTGTATGTCAGCGTGTATGGTACACGGTAAGACCCCACAAAACAAATAGAGCGAACGAAAAGCCAAGCAAAAAACGATACGATAACAGAAATGACAAAAGAACGTGCAACTGGAAATCTGACAAAATCAACATACGAAAACACTACTAAACATGATAAACATAAAGTATCCAAAATCGATCAGGTAACGAGATCATGCACCTAGTGATCAGTCTAATCATCCAAGTAACAAGGGCATACAATAGATGAAATTAATACCTAAAAATCTACAACAAGAGACGTAGTATGTCGAGCGAAATAATCCAAACAAGGAAACCCTCATGTATATATCATATGTCTCAAATTGTAGATAATTAAATATTAACCCCGATCTATATATGAAAAGAAACACAACTGTCCTACATCTCACAATAATCCATACCTAGCCAAGCAACGAGGTCATGTAACTAGCCATCCTAAAACTCACTGGTCCACATCTCACATAAAGTCAACATTCATATCACCGGATAACTGACTGTTCACAAATCCTTTACGCGCATCCAATACCGCTACACGAATCGGTCAGAGGACTACACGCAATCCGATCTCGGCCTGGTTCGAACTCAGGCAAAGCTCAGGTGACGAAACAGGTCACGGACTAAAGTGACTATACGAATTCACTTTAACCTAACAACCAACCCCAGTGACTACACGAATTCACTGACACGAGCTGGAAGATACATCAACAGCCACATCCAAGCACATGAACATTAACTTCCCCATCCCAACTCTTCTCGTGTTTTCTAAGTCAAACATAATCCACATTGAAACTCGGGTTCACCACCTAAACTCAGTCAACACACTCATACATGTCACTAGGTCTGTTCATGACGCACGACGCCACTAAGTCATGAACTACTAAGGTTCTCAATCACAACAAGGAGATAATAACAAAACAACTAATCATGTACAAATTAGGTAATCGAGATTAAGAGTCATAATTTATGAACAACCAACTATGTAATTCAGAAAAATAATCTATTTCCAAAATAATAT